TCACTTAAATCAGCAAGGCATAAAGATAGATTCACATATATGTTGCCTTTTAATTGCAAGAATGGTTTATTTTCTTATTTTTTTGCTTGGATAAACCTTAACCTATTCTTCTTTTTATAATCATCTATATGTAGGTTTGATTTGCTTAACCTCTATAAATTGAAATTCCAAACTCACCTCATCTTCTAATGAAATGTCTGACCAACGATTTCTTGTTTGTAAATTGTAATATAACCAGAGTACTTGCAAAGTGGAAGAGCCACAGAGAAATCTGATGTGTACAGCTTTGGGGTTCTCCTTTTAGAGCTTGTGACTGGAAAAAGGCCAACAGATCCATCCTTCGTAAACCGAGGCTTAAATGTGGTTGGCTGGGTATGCATGCTTCCCTTGAAACTCACCAAATTTTAGAACTTCATGAAGACTCGTTAATTTTTTAAACTTCATTGGAGACACTAGTTCGGAAATTATGGGCGATCGTGATATGGAACTTCCCTTTTCAGTATTTAGCTGTACAATTTCCACATATGATAGTGTCACAATTTGAAAAATGAACAGATGAATACCTTGCTGAAGGAGAATAGACTGGAAGACATCCTAGATGCGAGTTGCAGAGATGCCGATGCAGAGACGGTAGAAGCAATTATAGAAATAGCTGCAAGATGCACTGATGCAAATCATAATGATAGACCTACAATGCAACAGGTGCTGCAATATTTGGAGCAAGAGGTCATGTCACCATGCCCGAGTGATTTCTATGACGAGTCTCATTCAGATTATTCTTGATGTATGGAATAATTTCCTGGGACCAAATATTTAGAAACAATATGCGGCCTGATGCTGACATGTGTAATCTGCTATTGCAGATACTCTGTATGCTCCTTGCTTTTGGAGCCCTGCTGCTTTTCTTCCTAATGTCTTTGTGCATCACTTGTGCCTTTTTATGTAGATATCTGCAGTTAGTTTTAAAGCTACAATTATGAGTCCTAACTAGCCATGGCATTATGTAGTATTTATAATCTATTCATCACTATTGAATTTTCCTTCACCTATAATAGAGTTTAGGTTCCTCCTAAGAAAGTTCTTTAAGAAAATTTGATGAAATATGTGAGGACACTCAACTACTGGTGGATGTCATATCTGCAAAGCATATTTGTATGCCACTCAATTATCATAAAAAAATTGTAACCTGTTGGTGGAATTACATCGAATATGTTTTTGTTTTACTCGATTATTCAAAAAAAAAATTGTAGTATGATTGTGACTGCAGCCCACTTATCTTACCTGCAATTATTGGCCAGCTTGACGCTGAGGCATCAAACTTATGGTGCTACTTAATTAGGCCACCACTCCAAATATATGAGCCAAGTGTTTAGGAAGATATTTCCATTCTCAAGGAACAGCATACAAGATAAAGCACAAAGCGAACCAAAAATGGCAGAGGTCACGCAGAAGCTGAAAGGAAAAGTGGCCATAGTGACTGGTGGTGCAAGCGGAATTGGGGAAGCAACAGCACGCCTTTTTGCCCAACACGGCGCACGAGCCGTTGTCATCGCCGACATCCAAGATGAAAAGGGCAGAGCCGTGGCGGCATCCATCCCTTCACAGATTTGCAGCTACGTGCAATGCGACGTGAGTGATGAAAATCAAGTGAAAGCCATGGTGGATTGGACGGTCCAGAAATATGGTCAACTCGACATAATGTTCAGTAACGCAGGAGTCGTTGGTAATTCGGGTCAAAAGGTGCTCGATCTGGATCTTTCCGAATTCGATCGGGTGATGAACGTCAACGCTCGTGGAATGGCGGCGTGTGTGAAGCACGCAGCACGAGCCATGGTGGATAAGCGTGTTAGAGGTAGCATAATTTGTACAGGCAGTATTGCAGCAAGCAGGGGAGGAGCCTGGCGGACTGATTACATAATGTCGAAACACGCTGTGTTAGGGTTAGTGAGATCAGCTTGTCGGCAATTGGGTGAGTACGTAATAAGAGTGAATAGTATTTCACCTTCTGCAGTGATGACTCCATTGATGATCAGCGCAGAACCAGAGGTATCAATGAAGGCTCTGAAAAGGTATGGTCCGCAGACTAGTTTGAAGGGTATTACACTGACGGTGAAACACTTGGCGGAAGCTGCTCTGTTTCTAGCTTCCGATGATTCTGCTTTTGTTAGTGGGCACGATTTGGGGGTGGATGGTGGCTTGATCAGTCTTCCAGATCCAATGAGTTCATTGTGAAACAGAGAGAACAACCGGTTTGATTTTTTATTTTTTACTTTTGGTTTCTCATCCTGCCTTCGGTGCCCAATTTGACAATATTGGAGCCCGACTAAATTTGAATTCATGCTCAAAAGTTCCAAATATGGTAAAACACTCCCTAACTAGGGCGACTATGCATGTAGCCCGAAACATATGGTTAAGCCCTTGTAATAGAGCATGGATTTCGAACCTTCCTACCGTGTATTCTCTATTTGAAGGTTGAAAGTGTCTTGACTTTGTAATTGAGATGCATTGTGTTAGCTATGTAAAATTATTCAAATTACAATGTTTTGATTATAGTATTATTTGGCAGATTCAAAGTTACAATTCGAGAAGTAGTGGGCATGTTTGGGCCTGATGCAATTTTAATGGAGTTGTTATAGATTGTAAACAATCATCAAATTAAAAAGCTTCAAGGGCATGAAGAACTTTAGTTTATTTTCTTTTTAAAAGATAACCAAAGTGATTGTGCAGATTATAAGAAATTGCATGAAATTATGTGGAACTTGTGAATCTTTTGACACACAAACTCATGATAGAAACGAAGTAGTATAAAAATTGCAAGTAAAATTGAAATATCTATTATAACAACTACTCCATTAATTACATACGGCAACATAGGTAACTATGAAAAATCTAATATTACTTGGCTTGCAGTTTACAAACCAATATTAGTTGAAACTGAAAACTAATGAAGATTACATGTATAGCTTTCTTAGTAAATAAAATCCTATACATCAACCTTATACCTTATACCTAAAAATGGCGTAAGACAAACACGTTTCTCTGCTGCGCCTCTGGAAGTGGGATCCCAACTGTTAACTGCAATGAGGAGAACAATAGGAAGCAGAGGGCGCCCTGAATTGGCTGGTAGAGACATCATGCTCCGACCAAAGGAGGAGATTTCAGTGATGATGGGTGACATTCTATGCAAAGGCACACCTATAGAGCTTAGTATTTCACAAAGACTATCATCGATCAAAGCATTACTCGACAAATAGAAAGATTGCACCATAAATGGACCTCGAGGTTCCTCCTCGATTGAATCCCCTTTCTCTGAAAGATATTGAACAAATTCTTGAACACGAATTTCAATCAAGAAGAAAGGACTAGTAGAAGGATTGTTATTGTTGATGATGGTCTTCAAGTTGATGTCCTTTGGAATGATAAAATCATCTGTCCAAACTTTGAACTCATTGAAGGTTTGTGGAATCTCCATCTTCAATTTTTTGTTGAGATTGCAAATTGAGCTAAGTGAATAGAAGAAAATTATTGGTGATGAATTGTTGGAGCAACAGGAAGCTTTATATAGACTTTAAGGAAAGACTAATTTGTGTTGAAATAGGAATCTAAGGTTTCCAAAATTGTTGATTCGGAAACAAAATAGTAACTTGAGAAGCAAGCAAGTAATAATTAGGCAATTCTGTGGCCTTATCAAGTACGAATGCTAGTCAAAAATTGAATGGAAACTAATGGATTAATTTCAAATAAACTTTCCATTTATAAACCCTAAATAATTAAAGAATATGGAAAGACATTATATTTTGCCAATTGAAAACTCAAAGAGAGCCCCCTTTTGTCAATTCTTCTCAAGTAAGTGACATTTATAAATAAAAAATAAAAAATAATCTTAGAATCACCTAGTAAAAACTAACTTGATTGGGTAAATAATAACTCTTATGAGGAGTCGTGAATAAAACTTAAAACTAACACATTGCTTACATGTAGATTGTGTATCGGTTAGTTTGATTCAATTTCAAAAATTATTGGATTATTGATTTATAAATATGTTAAATCCATAAGATATCGATTTAATCATTAAATGTTCCTTCTTTATTCACCATAATATACTAAATCCATGAGATATCGATTATAGACAATGTGACTAACCAATATGTACATCGCTAAATATTCCTTCTTTATTCACCTTAAATATGCTCAATTTATTAAACTATAGAAATTAAAGAAAGCAACAAACAAATATTGGCAGTATCTTTAGGAAGTCGATATTTTTCCTAGGTCAGTGAAGTCCCTTTTTCTTCATCAAGGTTAAAGTCAATAAGAAATACAGCGATACATCATTTTTAAAAGAATATAATATACAATAATTATAACTTATTAAATTACTATTGAATTGTCAATTTACCCTTTAAAAAAATTTAACAATGAAGAACCGAACCGATGAAAAGAAAGTTTAAATTGTTGCTGAACTGTTAAACAATAATCTATATACAATTAAACAAATAATATTTTTTTAATTCGAATTATCAATTTCAGTTTAAATTTAAATACCCTACTTACATGTTAGCCTGATTTTTCTTTGGCTGGATTAATTTTAACAAGCAAGTGAAATTTATTTGTCCATAAAAATTGAAGAAAAGGAAAATTCAATTCCAGCATCCATAAAACAAAATTGAACGTACAGTATAATACACCATTTATCTTGTCTTTTTATATAAGTCCAAATATGATCCACTGTAATTTGTGGAGCTTTGAACTCAACTCTTGTCCAGAGTTGTTGAGTTATACTTTGTGAAGGCAGTTGTATCCTGGAGGGGACAAGTCAAGAGGACTACTGCTGGACCGGTGAAAAACATTTGCTGCAGTGCGCTTAAATCTCCTTAAAGAGAGCGAGATATCCGCGCCTCAGCCTGAAGAAATTTCTGTTTCTTCATTTTATTTTCAATTGTAATCTTGCAATTTTATTATCTTGTAATTTTTCACTAACAATTTTAAGGAGACTCAAAATGACTACGATTGAAAAAATCGCGGATGTCAAGATGAGAGACCTTGACAAGCCATTTTGGTTCATTGGTAACAATTTCAAAAGATGGAAGGGTAAAGTACTTTTCTACTTAAGCCTTCTCAATGTTTCTTATGTGTTAACTGAGAAGAATCCTAATAAAGTTGATGACACCTCCATGGATGACGATGAACTTATTTCTCATTATGAGAAAGTGGAAAAGTACGATAGTGAAGAGGCAAGGGGCCAAGATGCACTTTTACAAAAAGAAGAGAGCAACATCACAACGAAGGTAAATTTAATTACTTCAAATAATGCTACTCTTGAAACTCACAAAAATACTTCTTTGAAGCCTAAGAATAAAAAGTTTAAGAAAAATAATAGTAGATCTCCCAAGAAAAATAATGGTGAAAATAACCAAGCACAAAATCAACAAGTTCAAGATAAGGGACCGTGCTTTGTTTGTGGCAAGAGTGGGCATATTGCTCGATTTTGCAGATTCTGGAAACGTGGTCCTAACCATCAGGCAAATGTTACTGAAGAACCTATTGTGGCGGTGATTACTGACATAAACATGGTTGAGAGAGTTGATGGATGGTGGGCTGATTCTGGTGCGAACCGTCATGTCTGTTATAACAAAGACTAGGGTTGGGCATAATATGATTAAAACCGAAAAAACCGACCGAACCAATTTTCTTTAAATTTCGGTTTCGGTTTTTCGGTTATTTCGGTCGGTTTCGATTTCGATTTTCAATATTTTAGTTTTTCTGTTCGGTTTTCGGTTTTTAGCTTAAAAAATTCGGTTAACCAAAAAACCAAAATTATTTGTATATATTCTTTACTCCCTTAAATCTTAATTAACTTTCAGCCAGCCCATGCCCAACCCAGTCGGCCCAAATCCAATCAGAGCTGATAGTCCATAACCTTAACATCAAATTACAAATCAACATTCAGCCCATGCCCACTGCCAAGCCCAAATTTCAATCAATATTCAAAAATCCCTAACATCTTCATCGTCTCTCATCTCTCAAAATACGCTGCAATTGCCAACTCTCATCTCTCATCAGTCATCTCTCAACTCTCGTCACTCGTTGTAAGTCGTCTCTCATCTCTCAACTTTCGTCTCTCATAGTTAACTCTCATCTCTCAACTCTCGTCTCAGTTACGACTTACGTCGCAGGTTCGCAGGTTCGCAGGTCGTCTCTCAACTCTCATCCCTCATCTCTCAGTCTCAGCTTGTCGTTCGTTGCTCCTGGCTCCTCGCTGAGTGCTCAGCTGCTCGCAAGTCGCAGGTGCAGTCCGCTACTGCCTACTGCTCAGTGCACTGCTCGACGCTCGCGACTTGAAAATCGAAGGTAAGTGCTCACTGATTAAGAATCATAAGATGATCTCTATATATTACTTTAGAAACTCTTAACTAAATTTGTGTACTGTCCATGACTCTTGTGCTCAACCAGATTGTTTGGCAATCTCTATATATTATTTCAGTTTGGTTTGGTTTCATATTTCATAAGAGCATTTGCACTTTCCAAGCAAATTTTCCATTACTTTCTCTAACGCTCAAGATGCAATTTTCCAATTAGCATTCATGTTTAAGAGTAAATTACAAATTGCTTATGTTTATTTCTCTTCTTTTTCTTTTTTATTCTAGAGTTCTGTCATTATATTCCATTGTTTATAGGAAGATTTAATTCTAGAAAGAGCCATATTCCATTTTCAAATGTGGCCTAATGTTTGGAGAATTTCTAATAGAAGTTTCCTTTTGGAACCCTAAAAGTGAAACAGCAAGAGTAGTAAAACACTGTGATCCTTGTAGTACCTTAGTGTTCTTGAAAAGTTTGCATTCTTTGTTATGCTTTGGGGTGTTGGACCTATGAGGTGATTCTTACTGATTCTGTCATAAATTTTAAGTCCTAGTGATGATGAACTTGTTCATTCTTCACTACCAGATTGAGGAGTGAGCATGTCTGTGCTCTTTTTTTTTTTTTCTTCTTCTTCTTCTTCTTCTTCTTTATTTCCTCATTTCATGAATATGAAATGTAATATGACTAATATCAGTTAGTTAATTCTGTTAGTTACTGTTTATGTTGGAAACTTTTGCTGAGGGTGTGAATGCTTTCTTATGTTTTTAGACATATGAATTAGGATGTGTTGGTACATCATACATGTATGATTTGTGAGTTTTATTACTATAAATTGTGAATCCTCTATTATTTTTTTAATCATTTAATGCAACTATGCAGTAATGCAACTATGTGATAATTTGTGTGATTTGTGAACTGTAATGTATTGTGTGTCTGTGTCTTTCTGAATTTTGATTGTTGTTCTTCTTGTTTGTTTCACTTTTTTTATAGATGACACAAATTGGAAGTAGGGTAAGTGAAAGTGGGGCTTCAAATGAGAGCACACCTAACACCTCATCTCCCAATGAGGTTGAAGTTGATGTCGATACTTCAAAGAAAAGGAAACTCATGGAACCTAGAGCTACTTGTTGGAAGCATTTTGACAAGTTCACCGATGAAAGTGAAGCTAAGAAAACCAAATGCAAGTATTGTGCGAAACCTTATGCAGCTTCTACATCAAGTAACGGTACGTCGTCAATGAATACTCATATGAGAACATGTCCTAAATTTCCTCGCGACACCGTAGATAAAGGTCAAAATCTAATTAATTTTCTACCATCTTCAATGGGAGCAAAGGAAGGAGTGATTAGCACTTGGAAATTTGACCAAGCACAAAGTAGGAGAGCTTTAGCCAAAATGAAAATTGTTGACAAGCTACCGTTTAGTTTTGTTGAGAAAGAGGGCTTTAAAAACTTCATGAGAGTTACAGTGCCACAATTTCATATTCCTTCTAGTAGAACCGTGACAAGAGATTGTTATGAATTATACCTTGAAAAAAGACAACTTTTGAAGAAGGTTTTAAAAGAAGCACGTCCAAGAGTTTGTCTTACGACAGATAGTTGGACCTCTATACAAAAAATCAACTACATGTGTCTGACAGCCCACTTTATAGATAGAAATTGGACTTTGCATAAAAGAATTATAAATTTTTGTCCTAGTTCTAGTCATAAGGGCGGGGATATGGCGGCTTGCATTACTAATTGTTTGCTTGAATGGGGTTTGGATAATGTGTTCACTATTACAGTTGATAATGCTAGTTCTAATGATGTTACTATGAAAGAAATGTCTAAACAATTGAGTAATTGGGGAACTAACATTATGGATGGTGACCATCTTCATGTGAGGTGTATGGCACATATCCTTAATCTTATTGTGCAAGATGGGTTGAAGGAAATTGGTAAGTCTATCAAGCTAGTGAGACAAGCCGTGAAATACATTAAACAATCTCCCGCAAGAATTCGAAAGTTCAAAGAATGTTGTGAATCTCAATTGATAACTTGTAAGAAATCATTATGTTTAGATGTTCCTATTAGGTGGAACTCTACATATTTGATGCTTGATGTAGCACAACATTTTGAGCTTGCATTTGAAAGATATAGTTTTTATGATATTGGATACTTGAACCATTTTCGTACCTTTGGTTCTAATTCTTCTGAAGGTGAAGATGGAACTAGTGCAAAAGATGGAACTAGTGTAGATATTCTTACAAGTGTTGACTGGAAAAATGTGAGGTCAATGGTGAAATTTCTTGAAACTTTTTATGTACTTACTTTGAAGGTTTCTGGTTCTAATTATGTCACTAGCAATACACACTTTGTTGAAATTGTTGAACTTAATCTTATTTTGAAAGAGATGATGGAAAATGAAGATGGTAATTTGAAAGAAATGACAAAAAGTATGAAGGAAAAGTTCAAAAAGTATTGGGGTGAACCACATAAAATGATCAAGATGATTTTTATTTCATCCGTGTTGGATCCTCGTAACAAGCTTGATTATGTTCCATTTGCAATTGGGGATATGTTTGGAAAAAAAGTTGGGGATGAGCTATGTTCAGAAATGAAAAAATACATGAACAAATTATTTGATTATTATGTTGAGAAATCCTCAAAAAGCTCTTTACATGTACCATCTTCACCCACTCCATCTGACAACTCATCAATTATATCTAGTGTGAGTGGTTCTGGCAACTTTGTAAATAGAGGAAGAATGAGAACGAAACAACAATTTGAGAAGCATAAAGAAGTTAGTGGAAGTTCAAGTAGTAAATCAGAATTGGAAAGATATCTTGCTGAAGATATTGAGCCAAATAGTGATGGCTTTGATATATTAATGTGGTGGAAAGTAAATGAGCCGAGATTTCCTATTCTCGCGGAGATGGTTCGTGATGTGTTAGCCATTCCCATTTCAAGTGTCGCATCAGAATGTGCATTCAACACAGGAGGTCGTGTTCTTGATCCCTTTAGGAGTTCATTAACTCCTAAACTTGTGCAATCTCTTATTTGTGTTCAAGATTGGCTTAGAAGTGAGCCTTTTCCAATCAATATTGAGGAAAACTTAGAGTATCTTGAGCAACTTGAACTTCGTAAGATTTTGGTATTTGTATTAATTATATTGAAAATAATTTTATTACTTATGTTTCTTAACAACTAACAAATTCTTTCATATTTTTTTAGATTTTGCTTGTAGTGGGAATGAATCTAGTATTATTAATATATAGTTGCAACTTGTAAGTTCAACTATCAACTAGTGATGCATGGTATGGGTAAGTAAAGAACTTATTTACATAACTTGCTTGATAGTTTTATATATTTTATTATGAAATGTAGATCATTTGTCTAAAGAGTTCTATTTTCTCGCAGACACATCAATGGTTTGTTATTTTCTTGATTGCTATCTGTTGGAACTTAGGAGCTATTGCACTGGAGTTTAGAGGTTGCAAGTTGCAACAATGTTTTATTGGTTTTTTAATGTTTTGGTTGCTGGCTTGCTGGACTTTTCAGTCTACTGGCAGCTGGACGTTTCAGTTTAGTGGTGCTGCCGTGCTGGGCACAAGTTTTTGAATTTTCTAGTGTTGTACTGTTGTTGGCTTGACTCTTGAGTCTTGATAGTCTTTTTATTCTTATTCTCGACTAGTTTGTTAATGTTGTTGTCTACTGGACAAGAATTATCTATTTTATTTAGATATTTTAGTCAATGATATGGTAAGTTTCAAGTAAAAGGCTTGTGAGTTGTGACGTGCTTATAAAGAAGGGTGTCCACTGTCCAGCACTTGTTGATTTATGGGTCTTGACTCTTGAATATGGTATCCTCATTCCTCTGGGAGCTCATTGCATTTGTTTAACTGCAAAGAAACAACTTGAATGGTTGAAAGTTGAGACTTGGTGAAACAAATTAAGGCCAAGAAAGTCAAATTTTGTTCAGTTTATAATCAGGCCAGTAGAAAATAATCCAGATGCCACAACCCATAGACCGCATTAATTAAATTTGGTCAAACCGAAATAAACCGAACCGAAATTGTAATAATCGAACCAAATCGAATTTATTTCAGTTTGGTTTGGTTTTATATATTGCCAAATCGAAAACCAAAAAAATCGAACCGAAATTTACAAATCGAACCAAACCGACCGAACGCCCTGCCCTAACAAAGACTGGTTTAAAAAATATACTCATTTTGAAGAGCCCAAAACCATTATGCTTGGTGATTCACAAACAACTCAAGTGCTTAGAACGAGAGATGTCAAATTGTGTTTTACTTTTGGAGGGTATTAACTTTGAAAGATGTACTCTATACTCCTTCCATGAGAAAAAAAATATTGATGTCTAGTTTTCTTCTTAATAAAGCAGGCTTTAAATAGATTATTGAATTTGATCTGTCATGCTCCAAGACTATCTCTGAGACGCGGGCACGGGACCTAGGACCACAAGTGATCCCAAGCTAACTCTGCTAGCATGATTATGAGCATACTAAAGATAATAAACTAATGCGAAAGCTAAATCACAAATAACAATGAAAAGATGGGAAATACCCATATACTATAACTGATATAAATGATAACAGATGAGTTTAATACAAAGAAGATATTAACTCAATATTAAGCTGAATCTAACTATGTCTATAATAAGCCTCTAAACTAACTAGAAATGTTGGGGCATGCCCTAACTAGGTCTAGCAAAACTGAAACTAAAGACTAAAAACGATAAAGATAAACATGTCACTAGTTCTCGAAGAATGAAGACTCACCACCGATGCTGCTGAACTGATGATCGGGAACCGACCTAAGCGTGATCTAAATGCTGAGAACCTGAACCAACATCACAAGAAGATGTAGCGTACGTATGCGTCAGTACTTGAAAGGTACTGAGCATGTAGGATATAGTAAAGTTGAAATAACATATAACTGAACAAAGCAATAAGGCAATGAAATAATCTGAACATGATATAGATGTTGACTACTGAGTTAACTGAATGCAATGCCAAATTTATAACATGCCGAAACTGAATACTGATTGTACTGTAAATGAGGTTAATACAATAAAATCTGAGTGAATTGTAGGAGCTACTAATGACCGATAATAAAACCACATGAGCTAAATGTGGAGTCCGATGTATAAGCCACATCGAGAGGATCCAATTTACCCGGCCAAAGGTATAGAGGCATGGCTAGCGTGATCACTAAACTGATATTGCCCACAAAGGGGACTTACACCTACGTGGCTCGTAGTTCTAGAACTATATGGGTACACTAAACCCTAGTCCAACTCGGTATTATGCTACTCCCAATGAATTAAGTAATTAACACATTATCACTGAATTTCTGTAAGTTACTGGATAGCTCGAATTGAACATGCAAACTGAGAATGCAATAATTAATCTGATAATTATGCATTAATAACTGAGGCATGTATAACTGAATAACTAAGATATCTGACCTAGCATGTGTAATTCAAGAACTAAAGAAATACATAGCTAGGATTCTGAAATTCATGCAATAAACTGAGTAATAACATGATAATTTGATTTGAAACATTTAAATAACTATTTCATGATAATCTGTTGAAGTTCTAGAAACCCTAGGTCTAAATAATTATAAGGGAATCAAGAATTTGACTGAATTCTAGGGACCTAATGGGCGAAAGGAATACACTAGTGAATTCCCACATACCTGGTGATGAATTTCATGGAGAAATCCTTTGATTTCTAAGCTGGAACTGAAGAAAATTTGTTGCATTCTTGAACTAGGGTTCTTGACCTTTTTTCTCCTCTTACGCTCTAATTTTTTTATAAGTTTTGATTAATGATTTAACTTAGGTAAGTTCTAGTTATGCTTCTAGGCTTAAACTGACTAAAACCTCATGATTTAGGATCTAAACAACGTATCTTAGGGGTCCAACGAAATAGGAAAAGACCAAAAGACCCTGACTTAAATACTGTCGGAGTGATCGACGGATTGGACCTACAGGACGTAGTTCAATCTACGATCCGTAGATTGGGGTCGTCGATCAACTCTACCTGACAGGGCTTCACTAAAACAAGCATAACTTTTTACTCGGAGGTCGGTCTTAGCAAACTCGGTGGCGTTGGAAAGATGATTCCATTATCTATCATATCATAGGTCCTGGGATACATAATTACTTTTTTGCTAAGAGTTATGACCATCTGAAGTTGACCCAATCAACAATTTTCATCTAACTGGCTGCTGACTCTCACTTACGGCCAGACCTACGGACCGTGGATCGAACGACTGTCCGTGTTGATTTACCGTAGTTCGTGTCAGAGGTTGGGTAAATGAGTCTTGATCCACGGACCGTGATCTGACCTACAGACCGTGGGTCTGTCCGTGGGTCGAGACTTATTCGATTTTCTGAGATGGGTTGGGGAGGGGTTGCAGTGGTGAACCACGGACTGTTGACACCCAATTTTGGCCTAACATTTTCAAAATTCGTAACTTTTAAGTTTTATTTATTTAATAGTACAAAATAAATTTTTTATAGTATCAAATAAGTTTATTGATAACTATTCTTATTTATTAAAATTTATGATTTTTTTATCAGTTAATTTTAAAATTGCATTTTTACATGTCATTAGTTGCGTTCATTATATATATATATATATATATATATATATATTTTAATATTAATTTTATTTGTTACATTTGCTAATATTAATTTTGATATTTTTGCACAGTATAAAAATTCATTCAAAATACAGATAAAATTTATATATACAGATTGATCGATGGATTTGGGCCAAAATCTCAAACCCATGATTTGAGCCCATTGTATTGCAACTCCCTATTTAAGTAAATTTTAGGTCAAAAGCAAGGTGGTGAATAATATTTTTGGCATTGAGAGAAACAATTTTCAAATAGATAGAAACCCTAATTTTTTCCTTCTTAAAATTTTTTGTTGTTTTGATGTTGTTACTCTTCTAGATTTCACTGAAAAAGAGAGCTTCTGCGAGTTCCGTCCTTAAATCTCCATTATTTTGCATTATTGTGTTTACTGATTGTTGGGTTTGCTGCTATTGTTTATTATTATTTTATTTTGGGTTAAGTTTTAATGACTTTTTTGTAGTTTTTCAATAACTGTGTTTCACTTTTATTTTTGGCAATTTTGTTTATAGGTCTAGTCATTATTGTTCACTGCTTTCGTTAATTTCTTGTGAATTGTTTTGACTTTTATTAGATTTATTTATTTTGGACGTTTTGACCATAAAGTTAGGCATAGTTTGTATTTTTAATTTCTTTATTATTTGTTTGTCATTATTTACTGTTTTGTTGTTAACAATTATGTTGTTAGTCATTATTGTTTGGTTAGTTTATTTTATTTCACCGTTCGTTTTGTTATGTTAATTATTAGTTAAATATTGTATAATATCTTATACGGTTTCTATTAGTTTCATATGATTGTTATCTATGGATGATTGGTCGATTTTTTTTAATCTTAATTAGTTGGTTAATTTACTCAATAATTAAAATTGGCCAATGAAGAAATCTCTCCGTCGATTTTGGAGGCCTTTCCATTTTAAAAGACGGAAATTTAGTTTAGGTTTATATATTCTATTTGTTAAAATTGGCCAATGAAGAAATCTCTCCGTCGGTTTTGGAGGTCTTCCCATTTTAAAAGACGGAAATTTAGTTTAGGTTTATATATTCTATTTGTTAAAATTGGCCAATGAAGAAATCTCTCCGTCGGTTTTGGAGGCCTTCCCATTTTAAAAGACGGAAATTTAATTTAGGTTTATATATTATGTCTGTTAAAATTGGCCAATGAAAAAAACCTCTCCGTCGGTTTTGGAGGCCTCCACATTATAAAAGACGAAAATTTAGTTTAAGTTTATATTTTTTGTAAGTTAAAATGGCCAATGAAAAAAATCTCTCCGTCGGTTTTGGAGGCCTCCACATTATAAAGACGGAAATTTAGTTTAAGTTTATATTTTTTGTAAGTTAAAATGGCCGATAAAGAAATTACCGTCAATTTCCAAGGCCTTCCATGTTAGTAAGACGGATTTTTTATTTTAAGTTGTTATTTATTTTATTTATTTTTATTTTTATTTTTATTTATTTACTATTAACACTTTTACTAAGTGTGTTTACAGGTACCCCAGAGATGCTTCCCATTGAAGCTATTCGAATTAGGTTCAAATTATACTCTTATTCATTATTGTATATTATTGACGATAGGCAAATTTAGGCCGATTCTTATATTATTGTTTTATCATATTACTTGTGTATATTGCATGTTTATTATACTTGTATAATATTTTATCCTACTCCTCAATTTGAAAAAAATGAATTCAATCGGGATCCACATTTGTGGATTTCGAAGGATGCCTAACCCCTTCCCTTCGAAATAACTTGAACCCCTTACTTAGAATCTAATGGTTTCGTAGATCACTTAATGGTTTCCTAGTTTTCCTAAAATTAGGTGGCGACTCCTTTAAAATTCTTATTTTCTTAAAGTTCTTTTAAAATTGAATCAATTGATTATTTTTTGAGTCACCGCGACGTTTCGCCCTATTCGAATAGATTAGGGATGTAAACACGGACCACCAGCACAGGCCGTGGTTTGACTTACGGTCTATGGATGGAAACTGTGGGTTGCACCTGCAACTTCCAAAATCTATATTTTTGGTCTGTTTCGAATACGGGGTGTTACATGATCAATATGTAATTGTGAAGAATGATATTTTTGTGGGAAATGGGTATACTTGTGATGGGATGTTCAAATTGAATGTAGAAGTGAATAAAGCTTCTACTTCTGTTTATATGCTTTCTTCTACTAATTTTTTGCATGCTCGTTTGTGTCATATTAATAATAATTATGTTGAAATCACGAGTAGTTTCTGATTAATCTCAATGATTAAAAAGAATTTTGAAATGAGTGAGGCCTATAGTAAAGCCAAAATCACTAAAATGCCTGATTTTCAAGTTGAAAGAAAAATTGATTTGTTAGAATTTGTTCATACTGATATGTGTGAACTTGGTGGAATTTTAACTCGTGGAGGTAATAGATATTTTATCACTTTCATTGATAATTTCTCTAAGTTTACATATGTTTACTTGATGAAAAATAAAAGTGATGCTTTTGAAAATTTTAAAACTTATCTCCATGAGGTTGAAAAATAAAAAGAATTAGAAGTGATTGAGGCCGCGAATATGAGTCAAATGAGTTTAGATCATTGAGAACATTTCATGAAACTACTCCTCCTTACTCTCCTTCATTTAATGGAGTAGCGGAAAGGAAAAATAGAACTTTGGTTGAATTGACTAATGTCATGCTTATTGAGTCACGTGCACTTTTAAATTTTTGGGGTGAAGCTATTTTAACTGCTTGTTATGTGTTGAATCGTGTGCCTCATAAAAAGTCTAAATTGACACCTTTTGAATTGTGGAAAGGTTACAAGCCAAGTTTGGGATATTTAAGAGTGTGGGGTTGTATAGCCTTTATGAGGCTAATGGATCCCAAGATTACAAATTGGTAAGAAAGTTACTACTTGTGCTTTTCTTGGTTATGCTTCAAATAATACAGCCTATAAATTTTTTAATCTTGACGATAATATTGTGATAGAATCAGGTGATGCTATTTTTCATGAAAATAAGTTTCCTTTTGATTCTAAAAAAATAGTGGGGGTCAAAGGATTGAACAAAATATTTTGTCACTACCTAGTTCTTCTACTTCTACTTGAAAAATAAAGAAGTCAATGATTTTGAGTTAAGAAGAAGTAAAAGGGCAGGAGTAGAAAAAGATTTTGGTCCTGATTTTTATGTGTTTAATGTTGGAGATGACCCTCTCACTTTAAAAGAAGTTTTATCTTCACATGACTCCATTTTTTGGAAAGAGGCTCTAAATGATTAAATGAAATCACTGATTTCGAATAAAACTTGGAAGTTAGTTGATTTACCACCGGGTTGTAAAACTATTGGTTGCAAATGGGTCTTAAGAAAAAAATTGAAACCGGATGGATCTATTGATAAATACAAAGCTAGACTAGTTGCAAAAGATTTTAAACAACTAGAAGGCCTAGAATTTTTTGATACTTTTTCTCCGGTAACAAGAAGTACATCCATAAGACTTTTAATTGCTATGGCTGCAATCTTTGATTCACAAATTCATCAAATGGATGTAAAAACTGCTTTTTTAAATGGGGACCTGAATGAGGAAATTTATATGGACCAACCCAAGTCTTTTGTTGAAGCAGGCCAAGAAAGCAAAGTATATAAACTTACTAAATCCCTATATGGCTTGAAACAAGCACCAAAGCAATGGCATGAAAAATTTGATTCCTGCATGATTAATAATGGGTTTAAAATAAATGAGTATGATAAGTGCCTTTATCATAAGTCTTGGAATAATTCACACGTAATTATTTGCCTATATGTTGATGATTTATTGATCTTTGGCTCTAACATGAATGTTATTGATGAAATAAAAATATTCTTAGAAGCCATTTTGATATGAAAGATCTTGGTGAGGCAAATTTTATTCTTAGAATAAAAATAACAAGAACATGTGATGAAATTTTTCTTGACTAGTCACATTATGTTGAAATTTTTTTGGAAAAATATAACTTTCTTGATTGCAAGCATGTTGCTACTCCTTTTGATTCAAGTGTTCACTTATTTCATGTTGAAAGTGAAAATGATGTAATAAATCAAAGGGAATATGCTAGCATAATTGGAAGTTTGAGATATGTGACTGATTGCACTAGGCCTGATATTCCATACGCAGTAGGAGTACTTGACAGGTTTACAAGCAAGCTAGGTAATGAACATTGACTTGCTATAACAAGAGTTATGAGATATTTAATTGGAACAAAAAATTGTGGTTTGTTCTATAAAAAATATCTTGTTGTACTTGAAGGCTTTTGTGATGCAAATTGGAACACCATATCAGGTGATTCATGTTCTACCACTGGTTATAACTTTACTTTGGATGGTGGTGCTATTTGTTGGAAATAAAAAAAAACTATTATTGTTATCTCTACCATGGAGGCTGAACTAATTGCTTTAGCTTCAGCTAGTGAGGAAGCGAATTGGTTAAGATATTTGTTATTTCAAATACCTTATTTTGAAAAACCAATTTCTCCTATTTTAATTCATTGTGATAGCACCACTACAATTGGTAGAGTTCAAAACTGTTATTACAACGGTAAATTCAGACCTATAAGGAGGAAACACAAAATGTAAGATCGTATTTGACAAATAGTATCATCAATGTTGATTATGTCAAATCTTGAGATAATATTGCAGATCCTCTTACTAAGGCGTTAACAAGAGAAAAGGTCTGGAGCACATCGAGGGGGATGGGATTGAAGCCTACAAATCTTTGAGTCATCTATGAGGAAACCCAACTTGGGGACTAGATATCTTATAACCAGGTTCAAAGGGAAAAACTAATCATATGATGACTTGTTGTGAAAAATGCACTATATTTTTATTTCCCTCCCTATGATGTGAGTGCATTGTTTCCTGTAGTTTGTGAAGGTTGAGTTGATAAAACTCTTAATGAATATATGTAGCCCGTATGGGTGGAGTGTTAAGCTTATAGGAGCACTCTCAACAGATTTCACCAATGTGTGTGTGGAAGTAGGTCACTTTCTATGAGAATTTGGTTTATTCTCAAAAGCACTCATGAAATCGGGATAGCACATGGTCATAACGTGTTGGCTTTAAAGCTCATGTCAACACCTTGATTATTATGTGTGAGCAGTGATATTTTATTTTCCTTAAGTAGTCATAGTTCAAGTATGAGACCACTACGACTCTGGAGTAAAAATTATTGTTTCACTAAGTGGAGGTTAAATGCAAAGCACACCTTCATTATGATAAACTCTCTTGGTTAATATTAAAATGAGTAAGGGATGGTTGATTATTGAGCATTTTAATATTATTTTTTATATTAAATTTGCTCATTATTTTGGTGTCTTAATGTTGCCTAATTACTCCTGCATTTGGCCATTGACTTTGTGGCAATATAATGTTGGTAGAAACGTTCCAGTGAACGTTGGAACCTTGGCAGCATGGCAGCATGTTCATTAGCCATTGATGACATTTGTTACCCCTCTCATTATCTCATTCTTTATTCCTCCATTATTCTTTGTAACATATGTGTTAAGGCCATTTATCTTCACTATTTATCACTCCATTATCTTCCTATTTATTTCTACGAAGACTTCTTCTTGTATAAATAGTGGTGTTCTTCATTTGGTTTGGGACACACAACACACAAGAAAAAAATATAGAGTGAAAGAGTTAGTCAAAAATAGAATTCTTATTAGTTGAAGGAAGGTGTTCTTTTTTGTGGAGCTTTGGATTCAACTCTTGTCCAGAGTTGTTGAGTTATACTTTGTGAAGGCTGTTGTATCTTGGATGGGACAAGTCAAAAAGGACTACTATTGGACCGGTGAAAAACATTTGATGCAGTGGACTTGAATCTCCTTAAAGAGAGCGAGATATCTGCGCCTCAGCCTGAAGAGATTTATTTCTTCATTTTTATTTTCAATTGTAATTTTGTATTTTTTGTTATCTTGTAAGTTTTTCACTAACAGCATGTAATTAAACTATATTAGTCAACTAGTTCCTAACATCCATCCCAATTTATGTGATATAGCTAAAATTTAAGAGTCAATCAAATTATTTTTTTAATCAAAACTGTTTGTTTTTTAAATATTTTGATTTGTTAATCATTTTCATTTATTTTGTTTAAAAAAAATTATGTTTTAATTCAGCTCCAAACTTTTGAAATTTTCAAAAAAAAATTAATATTCATATAAAATGCATATTTAATTTAAAACTACAAAATTCTAAAAATCTCACTTACTTTCGAAAACTTGATGGATAATCAAACTAAGCAATATAAAACTAGTATTATAGTACGTGCTTTTTTTAACGGTATAAAAAATGAAAAAAATGATTAAATAGTATCATTAATTTATTAAGTACCCCTCACTATTAATTTTGTTAGGTCTTTGTCTCTTTCTACTAGTTTCCTAGGAGGTATATTTTTTTATATATATGAACATGTGAGCCATGACCCATTAAGTATAAGTGAATTCTCCTCAGTTTAGCTTCTGCTGCAACAAATATTCAGAGATGACAAAACTTCAAGTAGTATCAACATGTGTAATTAGGTCCCAAAAATCCATAGAAAAAAAAATCCAGTTAACTCCATGGGACCTTCAACTCCTCACAGGGGATTCTATCCAAAAAGGATTATTTTTTCATAAACCAAATCTTCAGCAACATAGAGAGTTGGCAAAATCATCATCAGAAATTATCAATCGCCTAAAAATTTCACTCTCTGATACTCTAAATCATTTTCCTCTCCTCGCAGGTCGACTTGTTGCTAGTAAAAACAGTGATGACACCTTATCTTTCTTTGTTGATTGCAACAATGAAGGAGCTGAATTCACTTATGTCACTGCACCTGATTTGACTGTGGCTGATATCTTGGAACAAACTTACATGCCAAAGATTGTCAAGTCTTTCTTTCCACTCAATGGAGTACGCAACTATGAAGGTATTATTAAATAATAATTATGTAAACAACCCTAAATTAAAAGTTTTCGTTGTTAAGTATATAGTGAGTACACTTTTAAGTACTCATTACCCCTTTAAGCATCCATGACTCTTTTTTATGAGTTATACACATTGAATGATTTATCTATGTATGCTAATGTAATATGTTTAAATCGTGTGAATCATTTTAAAATTTAATTGTCTACCAGGTGTTTCGAAACCATTGTTGGCCGTGCAAGTCACTGAGCTAGTGGACGGATTCTTCATTGGTTGCACTATCAATCATTGTGTAGCGGATGGGACTTCATTTTGGCATTTCTTCAATTGTTGGTCTGAAATAGCGCGCAATGGCGATTCCAATCTTATTGTTAATAAACCGCCGGTTCTGGACCGTTGGTTTCCTGAATTTGTTGCTAGTCCAATTCATGTACCTTTATCTAAGGAACATGTCCATGATGAATTTGATCTACCTTTGTTAGAAGAAAGAGTTTTCCATTTTAGCAAGGAGAACATAGCTCAACTCAAAGCCAAAGACAATTCTGAATATGGAAACCACCAAAAGATTTGTATCTCTTCATTACAAGCCGTTTTGGCTCATCTGTGGCAATCTGTTATCCGTTGCCGTTGTGGTACGAACGCTGACGAAAAATTTAGTTTCAAATTACTTATAGGTGCAAGGCCAAGGCTTCAGCCGCATTTACCTGAAAGCTATTTCGGAAATGCTGTGCATTTTGTGAACGTGACAACCACCGCTAGGGAGATGTTGGAGCATGATTCAGGTCAGTGAGAAATTAAAAGGGCTTTTTTTTTTATAGAATTATTTTATAATGTTCCAAATACGAAAAATATTTAGGAAACAACTAAAATTCAGTAAGAAATGGATTAAATATTGTGTTTTTAGATATATTTTTAAAAACTAAATTTGAATTCAGGTTGGGCTGCTTTGCAAATGAATAAGGTGGTATCCACCCAAACCCATGAAGAGGTTATGAATTTTTATCAAAGTTGGGTGAAGAATCCAAAGATAGTGAAAAAGAGTGAAGTGGTTGCTAATAGCTTGATTGCTAGCAGCTCGCCGCGCTTCCATGTGTACGTTAATGACTTTGGATCGGGGAGACCCGTTGCGGTGAGAAGTGGCGCTGGCAACAAACATGATGGGAAAATGACAATCTTTTGTGGTGCAGAACAAGGAAGTATCGACATTGAAGCTTGTTTGACCCCTGAAACTTTGCATGCCATGGGACAGGATACTAAATTCATGGGAGCTGTTAGTAAAATTGAGATCGTTTAAGCTAATTACTTTATTATGTTTATGGGGATGGTTTAATTTGAACTTCTTATCACGATTTGTTAATGGATTATCTGTATGGTGATGGCTTCAGTGATTATAAAATACATTTCATATGTTAAATAATACTTGTGCACTGTTGGGTCTACGCACTTCTAAAAAAAAAATTATAAATAGAAAATAATATTATTATATTATTTTTTAATATAATAAATATAATATAATAAAAAAAAATGACTATAATTAATGATAAGAATAAATTAGGAACTAAGTTATATTCATTCATTTCATAGTTATATTTATTTTATTGTGAACCTATCTAATACACGTGTATTTATATAGTTATATTTATTTTATTGTGAACCTATCTAATACACGTGTATTATTTATACAGAGGACACATGAGGCCAACTTGTAAGTCATTTAACATTGTATTTCCAACTTTAATTATTTGTACAGTTTGCTCTAAATATTGTATAATCTAGATGCACTTTACTTGAATGGACTAAAATAATAGCTTGCATCATTTAATAGTTTTTTTGGCGTTAGCTATAGTATGACTTTTGAATTAATCTATTTGCCCTAACTTTATCTTTTTATTACTTTAATTTTTATCATATTTTCTGTAAATTCGTGATGTTTGAGCCTTCTTGGTAAATGAACTCTGTAGACACTTCTTTTTCAATTGCTAAAGAATTTTGTTGTAGTATGGATTGTAGGAACATACATTAATTTTAGAAAAATAAAAAAAATAAAAAATAAAAAATAATATATATATATATATATATATATATATATACTATATAAACTAAGAGGGATTATCTGCTATGGGGCCAATTTAGTCATTGAAAATATTTTTCAGCTTTAATTATCTGTACAATTTGCTCAGGATATTATTATAAGTAGATAAAAGAATTCAAAAACCATGTAAGCCAAAAAAAATATATTAAACGATGCAAGTTGTCATTTCTGTCCATTCAACACTATTTTAAATTTTGCATGAGGTAGCATATTTACTACAAGTAGTATTTAATTACACAATTTATGCGAAATAATTTAGAATATGAAGGTCAAAATACTTAATTTTGATAAACAATTCAGAAAAATTCTACAAATATTTAAATTAAATTTATATATTTAAAAACTATCAAAACGTAGCTAATAATTAAAACTATTTTAAATTTTATGATAAATTATAATAATTAAATAATAGTACTTCCTTTGTCCCTAATTACTTGTTCACTTTTCCTTTTTTAGTTATCCCTAATTACTTGTCCATTTTGACAAATCAAGAAATGTCAATTTTTTTAACATATTATACCCTCAATTAATTATTTTGAAAAAGGTAGAACTTTTTGAAAACCTTAAGTTTTTAATTCATCTACTTCATAGTTAATAGGGATAAAATAATAAATTTACTATATCAATAATTATTTTTTTAATAGGTGTGTCAATTTAAAAATAGATAAATAATTAGGAACCAGGGGAGTAAGGACCGACAAAAAAAATCTTGATTAATTCTGCAACTGCCATTTGGCCCAACAACACTAATAAATGAGAACACTTCATCATCAAAAACATGCATTGTCATTCAAAACAATAATTTTCTAAGTCATATGCTATGATCTCTTTGGGTGTGTTTGTCGGGAAAAATAAACTAAGTTCTTTAAAAATAGTTTCATATATGTTTTCATACTGATTAATTGGATACTTTCCATCCCAAGGACTCCACCGCCCACTCGGTAATGTTCTCCTAAATTATACTTTATAGTTTATCGGTTTATTTTTATTTATCACTATTTGAGTTGGTATACTCACTGAGATACAATTTTTTATATAAATATTTTATCACATTACTCTATTGATATGGGTGTTCATGGATCGATATGAATCGGTTATTATTCTAAATCAAAACCAAATCAATTTATTTAATTTTTAAATTATCAAAATCAAGTCAAATTAAACATACAATATACATTTTTCGGTTCGATTACTCTATTAATCATACACAAAAACTAAAAAAAATGATGAATTAAAAAGAGGGCAAAAGACGACTAACATTACAGAGTTTTGGATCACTAAATATAATTTACTGTGAAAAAAAACTTCAAAATTCACCATTTTGGCCTAGAAGGAAGAGATAGCATGGTATTCTAGTCCCACCAAGAATTACGATAGACACTCACATGATGTGAGTGCATTGTTTCCTGTAGTTTGTGAAGGTTGAGTTGATAAAACTCTTAATGAATATCTGTAGCCTGTATGGGTGGAGTTAACGCTTACAGAGCACTCTCGGCAGATTTCACTTATGTGAGTGTGGAAGTAGGTCGCTTCCTATGAGAATTGGGCTTATTCTCAAAAGCACTTATGAATCCGGGATAGCACATGGCCATAACGTGCTGGCTTTAAAGCTCATGTCAACAGCTTGATTATTATGTGTGAGCAGTGATATTTTATTCCCTTAAGCAGTCATAGTTCAAGTCTGAGACCACTACGACTCTGGAGTAAAAGTTACTGTTTCACTAAGTGGAGGTTCAATGCAGAGCACACCTTCATTATGCATAGTAATCTTCCTTCAGCTGATAGACTCTCTTATCTAATATTAAAATGAGTGGAGTATTTTAATAATTTAAGAATTCACATTTTTTGCATGGCCACATAGATGTTGGTTTATGGCCGTTGGTGCACTTCTCATATATGTTACATAATGATGGATGAATTGGCCGTTGATTGTTGCCGTTGAAAATAATTATTGCTGCATTACTATTCAGCATTACTCCAAATGGAGTTAGTGTGTATGTTACAATTTTCTTGGTGCATGCAGCAACTCCCAAGCCGTTGGTGGCTTAAGTGTCCCTTTATTTTCATTCTTTATTTCTCCATTATACCTTGTAACATATGTAACTCCTAAGACCATTATCTTCACTATTTACTACCCCATTATTTTCCTATTCATTGCTAGGAAGACTTCTTCTAGTACAAAAAGTGGTGGTCTTCATTTGATTGAGACACACAAGAAAATATAGAGTGCATAAAGTTTGTCAAAGAAGAGAGTTCTTATATTAGTTGAAGGGAGGTGTTCTTTTTTGTGGAGCTTTGAACTCAACTCTTGTCCAGAGTTGTTGAGTTATACTTTGCGAAGGCAGTTGAATCCTGGAGGGGACAAGTCAAGAGGACTACTGCTGGACCGGTGAAAAATATTTGCTGCAGTGGGGTTGAATCTCCTTAAAGAGAGCGAGATATTCGTGCCTCAGCCAGAAGAAATTTCTGTTTCTTCATTTTATTTTCAATTGTAATCTTGCAATTTTATTATCTTGTAATTTTTCACTAACAGTTAGAATTTGTTTGAATTGAGTTTTGGCTTCTGACTTAAAAGCTAAAAATTCATGAGTTAGAAATTCTATCTACTTTTTGTCATAAATAATATTGAAATTATAAACAAAAGATACAAAAATTAATTATTATTTTTTAAAAAAAAAACTATCTATTTTTTTTATCATAAATATTTTAAAACTTTCAATTAAACAACTCAAATCTTCATATTAATAGATAAAGTTTTTACAACTGCATTCAAGATAATGTATTGCAAACAAATGACTAACCTCTTGTTAACTAAAATTAATCCGTACGTTTATAAATAATAGTATTACTATGTGAAATTAAATGTGGTGTTGTCCTCCTTCTCAATCTCCACTGTCCCACCAATTGTCAGATTGAGGCATCATTGTCTGAGCAAAACAAAGAACGTATTAGATGAATACAGGAAATATTTTGTGCGGAGGCATGCCTATAACGTTCAGTATTTGACAAATACTATTATCCACACTATCGTCATGAATCACATTATTACTTGAAAAAAAGAAATAACATTACTTGAAAAAAAAAAATTCACGATAAATATATTTTGTAGTTCCTCCACAATCGAATACCCGCTCTTTAATAGATATTGGAAAGATTATTGAACCAAAAGTTGAATCATGAAATTATTAATTGATATTGAAAAAATTGTTGAACTGAAAATTGGATCATGAAAAAGGGAACGGTACCAAGTGAAACAATGATATATGAAATTGTGTAGAACAAACCTTGATTGACATTGCGAACACTTGTAACTTATTTCTTTTAGATTCATTGTCTTCTTGTTTGAAAAATCGCCTGAGTTTTTTTGACTTTTATCTTTGTAAAAAAATCTCAACTTTCTCAAGTTATTCGAAATTCGAAAATATTCAAAATAAGGGGGGGAAATACTAATTTGTTTAGTCTGGTTTGTGCAGAATTAGGAGCATCAAATTTCTAATAAGAAAATTTGTATGATAAAAGGTAAAACATGTAACTTGAAAAAGAAGCAAGACAATTGTTTTTATGTTTTTGTTAGTGTTATTACGCTAAACATAAGGTTTTCAATTTGTTAAGATTCTCTCTAGTCATTTTGTTCTTGTTAGAGATCGGGTAAGGCTAGTTAGAATTTGTTTGAATTGACTTTTGGCTTTTGACTTAAAAGCTAAAAGTCCATAAGTTAGAAATTATACCTAATTTTTATCAGAAATAATATTAAACATTATAAATAAAAGATACAAAAATTATTTACTTTTAAAAAAAAGAATTATCTACTTTTTAACCGAAATATTTTAGAACTTTCAATTAAACAACTCAAATATTTCATATTAATAAATAAAGTTTTTACAATAACATTCAAGATTATGTATTGAAAACAAATGACTATCTTCTTGTTAACTAGAATTAACATGTACTTTTATAAATAATGGAGTAATATTACTATGTGAAGTTAAACGTTTGATGTCTTTTAAGAATATATACTAAAAACAATTAGTATTTAACAACAAAAAAAGCAACCCTAAAAATATTTTTATATATTCAAGTTATCTTATTGTAATTTGATTTTTAGGCCACTAATTTTAAGAAATCTTTCTTACTAATGTATTTCAAATAAAATTTACAGGACAGGACTAGTATTTACTACTCTTTCCTTTCGATAGTAAATGATAGAAATATTATAAGTAGTTAAAAGTAACTATAACAACAAAACATATTATTCGAAAAGGAGTGTGATTAAGCACAAATAAATTTTCAAGTCCATGTAGTGAGATACAAAATGACATGACTGGGGTGTGTATTTAGTTTTTTTGGTTTGGTTTTATATTATTGTTGATTTCACTTTTCACTTTTAAAAAATATAACTCAAGTTAAATCAAAATAAATTTGATTAGGTTTAGTTTTTCTCGGCTTTTTCAATTCAACTATTCGATCACGTCAATAATTAATAACATAATCATAGTTATATTTGAAAGTGGCAAAAAAAATCATGTACAAGGAGGTTTTTGCTTTATTTGCAGGATTTCACTATTGGAAAGGTAAAATCTTTGATCGGACATATCTTGAAACTTTAGGTCAAATCCATTGTTGGATCACCTTTTCCGGGATGACTAAGCCCACTATTCTACAAGCCCCTCTTGTGTCGGGTTAAGGCTCTACCTCATCTTGGATTAAGGGATTAGTTGAACCCAATTTCTTCACTTGTAGTCTAGAACTTTGTTTGGCAGAGCTTTTAAGCGATTTCCTCGTCTTAGAGTTGCGTATTCAATTCACATAAAAAAAATGAGAAGGATTTGTTACCGTTTAGAAGCACAAATGATGCATAATATTGAATTTGTTAAATATACTTTGTAACATGAATCATGAGTAAAATTAACAACACAATACTTAAAAGTATATTGTAACATCTTGTGACTACAAAGAACTAGAAGGAAGTTTAAAATCTGGAAATAGTTATTTTTGGAAACTATAAGGAAATCTAGAAAATTTTAAGTTAAAGTGAGTTTTTGGTCAACTTCAAATGACCATAACTCCTAATTCAGGATGATTTAGGTGTATTTCCAGATATGGTTGGAAATCTCTTGGAATGACCTTTCCAACACCGCTAAGTTTACGCGATTCCGAGTTCATATGAGTAAGTTATGCCCTTTGGAAGTTGGGTTGTTCGAATAAAGAAATGCCCAATCTGGATTTTGAAGGGTAGTTTGGTCTTTTCCTTACCCAATTAATTAAATCCGTTTTTAATAAAATAGTTGGGGTCAAAACTGAGTTAGTTCAGTTTGCACTTTTGAGAAATAGAGTTAGGGCTTTTGGAGAAAGAATGCAAGAGAAAGGAGAAGAGGAAAAGCAAGATTCGCTAAGAACGATCGATTTTGGTTGCGGATTCGCCAAGGAATTGACCCTACAAGGTATGTGAGTCTTTTATAGCGTTAGGTTCATTCACCCACGCGCCAAACATGTTTAGTTCAGCGAAATTCGTCCTAAAAAAGTTTGAAAGTTGATGTTCTTGACATGGATTCTTGAATTTGAATGTTGTTCTTGAATTGGGATGGATTGAGAAGTTTCTGAGTTCGTTACGTCGCATCATAGAGTCGCTTTGAGTTAGAATCTTAGGTACATTTTCTAGGTATCTGTATCTAAAAGTAATTTGAGAAAAAAAAACGATTTTGGGTGAATTGGGATTGGAAAAAGAAGAAGAAAATTTCGTCGGACGAAATCCGGCACTGCCTCCGCGTCGTGGAGCTGGTTCCCAAATTTGGGAATTTCTGTTTCGCGTCACGGAGCTGTCACGGAGCGTTCTGCCTAAAACATCATTTTCGAAACTAAAATTTTAAAGCTTCTCCACGTCGCGGAGTCTTCTGCCTCAAAAGACGTTTTCGAAACTAAAATTTAATTATGCCTCCGCATTGCGGACTCACCTTCAAATCTTGATATTCGGTTTTTTCTCATATTTAACTATCTAAAATCATTTCTAAACGACATGAGATCTTTCCAAACACCAATCATAATTCTTGAATCCATAATTCAATTTAAGGATCAGTTAAGAGTCAAGTTAAGAACAGTTAAGAGTCAAGTAAGAGAAGTTCATTTCAAGTTTTCATAAGTCTTTTACAAACGTTTTAACTTTGTTTTAAGACTTAAGTTTTGAAGTTGAGTAAAGAGTAAGAGCAAAGTTCATTTTCTTTAAAATGAAATATGTGAACTTAGTATTTCCAAGAGTAAATGTTTTCACATTTAAGATGAGAGGAAACTGAGATTTCCAAAAGAGTTTTGAACAGCAAAAGGGAACATTGATTCCAAGAGAGCTTTTTAAACTAAGTTTGAGCAATTATCTCAAACCAAAGAAGAAGTTGTTTTTAAAAACATATGAGCTGAGTATATTTTGGAGTAGTATTGAGCACCGATATGGGGACGCGAGTTCATATTAACTCAAGCCCCCATAAACCATGTAGCCATCATGGGCAGAAAAAGGATCATACTTTTTAGATGATTCCTTAGTGTTTTTTTTAGCATAGACTAGTGGATTCACTTAATAGTTCAGGTTCTATATCGATGGCAAGATATAGGACGGTCCTTTGCAACGTGAGGTAATACATTGTACCATCACTTAGGCTCATAGTGATGGTTGTCGGTTTAGAGAATCTCCCACATAAGTTATATTACTTTCTAAATGAGTAAAGTTAAGTTTGTTATTGTTTTATCTTTAACGAACTAAAATTGTATTCAGTTGTTTTATAAGCTTTATATTTATATCACATGTGTTTTATTGCTTTATATTGAGTTGAGTATCCATGAGTTGAGAAAAACCAGGTAGGTGTCTCTTCCATTATCTCTTTCGAGCCTATGTTTGTTAGCATTCCAACTTGCATACTTGTACATTCGATGTACTGATGCCAGTTGGTCTGCATCTTATTATGATGCAGACGCAGGTAACCAGGATCAGCATTCAGCGCCTCGTTGATCCAGCTTTGAGCATTTAGAGTCTGTTGGTGAGCCTCCTTACATTCCGGAGGACTCCTCTATTTGCTTTCTAGTCTTTCAAATGTTAGGATGATCGGGGGTCATGTCCCGACATCCCTCTTTGTTTTAGAGGCTTCATAGACAGTTAGTAGTTCAGTAGTCTTTGCATTAATATTTCTATGTTAAAGACTTGGGTTGCCACTTTTGGCCAAGTTGAATGTTTAATCTTTAAAACATTCTCAGTTATTTTATTATTCAGTTCAGTTAAGTTCATTGATCATTATAGATATGAATATTGTCTTCCGCTGAGTTAAGTAAGTCAGGCCAAGGGTTCGCTTGGGGCCAGCAATAGTCTTCGAGTGCCAGTCCCGCCTAGGGTGTAGGCTCGGGGCGTGACATATATCTAGATGTCCAAATATAAAATATAAAATATAAACTAAATCATAATGAAAGGTAATAACTAAAAAGGGAGAAAGTGGTTAACTCCGATCCAACTTTAATTCTAAACCTAAATATTATATATGTAATTATTAATATATATTTTTTCCAGTTTGTCGGATTTTATATTTCTAAATCCGAAATCAAATAAAAATAAATAATTTTTTTATCCGAAATCAACAAAAGAAAAACAAAAACCAATCTAAATTAAAATTTAATTCGATTTGAATTTAATTTTTCAATTTAATCCGAATAATGCCCGCTCCAAAATCCTAATACAAACGTTTACATTCATTTTACTCTAGTTATAAAATCTCCTACTATATGTATTACTGTACTAAATAGAGAATTTAAAATAAATAGTTCCTCGCTAAATAATAGCCGACAAATATTTAAAAAATTAATATTAATTAATGTATAATATGGACCTAACTACTTTGTTTGTAGTTATACTTCCTAGCCAGTACCTTTGTCTGTTCCTACCAGACAAGAGTCCATACTAATTTTTGTGTTTTGAGTATTTCAATTTGCAATTTTCTAGTAATAAGTCGTACTAACAAAAGAAAAGATAGTCAGCCCAAAAGAAGAGCCAAGTGAATGGAAGGTTCAGCGAAAAAATTACACTATATATATTACTAGTTAGTTTAAAATTACTTTTTAGATATGAATGTTGCCAGGGGCGGAGCCAGCCTTCTGTTAGGGGTTCATCCGAACTCCATTCGGTGAATTATTTTACTATTTATACATGGTTAAAATTATTTTTATGTATATATAATAGATGTCGAACTCCCTTCGGTTAGTTTGTGTGTTTAGATCTTCACATATTGAACCCCTTATTAAAAATCCTAGATCCGCCACTGGTGTAGTGTATATCTTTTTTGATTTTTCGTGTGTTTACTTACAAAAATTTTTGGCTCGACCACTGAATTAGACTTCGGATGTAAAGGTTCTGGCTTCCATGCACACAAAAATCAAGTTACTATTAAAATAGCATTGAGATTGACATATGCACTGAGATTATCCCAATGTACGGAATTACTCACATCCTAAACTTCTACAGTAATTTTCTAGAGCCATTATATATGTAATCTAACATACAATGTTCAGATCAAGAAGGCCTTTATAGGAATATTGTGCATAATATCATCGAAGAGTCGTGTTAATGTGGCGTTTCGATCTGTCATTCGTATAATAAGCCATAGTTTATAAATTGGAGTTCCTTAATTCCTCTGTCAATTTCGGCTATGGTTGCTGTCTGCAATGTTTTTCTTCTGAATCTGTTGCTGCTTTATGGTTTTCTGGCATCCTGCACTTTGAGCATGCAGTTAAGTAAGGCGCTATGATCACTCTTTCATGTGTAGCATCATTTGCATTTGTCTGTCTTTTATATTTCCATTTTTTATCTGTTTATTGCACATGGAAACTGGACTGTTTTTGTTCTATTGATGTTGAAATGTTTGATGTGACTCTGTAGAGGACTTAAAAAATGGTGCTCAATCATATGGTATTCGTGAAACTCGTCAAGCCCCAAATGGTATTTGTATTGAAAAAATTGGAAATGGATCTTATATTGGCATGGCTCCACACCCTGATGGCTCTGACCGCGTATTTTTGTGGAATCAACAAGGTAAGGTATGGATTGCCAATGTTCCTGAGGATGGATCTAATGGAGTGTTGGAAATTGATGAATCAAAGCCATATCTAGATATAACTGATCATGTGCTTTTTGGTTTGCAATTTGGGGTAATGGGAATGGAGTTCCATCCTAATTTTGTAAGTAATGGTCGTTTCTTCATTTCGTACCATTGTGATAAGTTACGACACTCAGGATGTTTAGGTAGATGCTCGTGTAACTCGGAAATTAATTGTGATCCAGCAACACTTCCAATAGACAGTGGCATTGCACCATGCCAGTATCAAATTGTAGTAGCAGAGTACACAGCAAATGGTACTGCAACAACACCTTTCTTGGTATACATCTGTTATTGCTTTATACGATAAGAATTTGAAATTTTTCTTCATTGAAATTCTCTTGATTACATACTTTGATCATCGTCATGACAGGTAGAAAGTGCGAAGACATTGGAAGTGAGGAGGATATTTACAATGGGACTCCCACATAGGGGAGTTTATGGAGGACAGATTCTTTTCGGCCCTGCAGATGGATTTCTGTATGTTATGACTGGTAGTGGTACGCATCGAGGGGACCCTTACAATTTTGCACAAAACAAAAGATCGTTGCTCGGAAAGATCTTGAGGATTGATGTGGATCAAAGTATGCTGATCAAATGTTGATATATTGTGTAGACTTGTTTTGTGATTTACATTTTAATTTCCAGAAAAAGCTTTAGGCAAACTTATCCTGTTCGAATAAACCTTTGTGTCTTGAGTCATAACAAGGAAATTAAACATTTGCAATCACTACATACATGGAAACAAACTGATTGATGAGACTGCATGTTTTTCGGACTATAACAGCTGAACTCTGCAATTTTCTCATTTAATTACTGACAGGAAACGAAGTGCATGATCGAGGGCTTTGGGGAAATTACTCCATACCAAGAGATAATCCGTGCAACAATGACAAGCAATTAGCGCCTGAAGTTTGGGCATTAGGTCTTAGAAATCCATGGCGTTGTAGTTTCGATTCAGAAAGGCCTTCCTACTTCATGTGTGGAGATTCTGGACAGGTTTGCAACTTAGCTATATTTTAGGCAAAACAGTAAGCATAGTCATTGTGTTGTTATTAGCTTAAGGGAAATCTTGATAAGTTCAAAAGAAAAAATAGGACATATGTTAAGTCTCTTGGAATACACAGACAAATTATTAAAGATACTTATCCTTTCATGAAACTTATAGGACATATATGAAGAGATAGATATGATAACAAAAGGTGGAAACTATGGATGGCCCGTCTACGAAGGCCCTTATCTCTTCAAACCAGCAAATGCCCGAGAAGGAAGCACTTCTAATTCTAGCTCCAACAGTCTCATATTCCCGGTCATGGGATACAACCACTCTGAAACTTACAAGACAATTGGTTCCGCGTTCATAATTGGTGGATACTTCTATAGGTCTCAAACTGATCCCTGTCTGTATGGAAGGTTTGCATCTCTTTTTTCTTTGCTAAAAAAACTTGAAACTCTATAGTTGTGTGTACTGTTTCATTAGCTCAACCTGATTTTGAATCAAAACTTTTTAGGTACTTATACATAGACTTATATCCAGATGGAATATGGTCAAGTACTGAAAATCCTGAACATAGTAGAAACTTTACAAGTTCAAAAAACCCATACAGGTGTGCGCGTGATTCTCCAATCCACTGTGAATCAATTGCAGAGGATGTTATGCCTGCTATAGGATACGTTTCGTCTTTTGGGGAAGACAATAGAAAAGACATTCATATGCTAACAACCACTGGCGTCTACAGAGTTACACGTCCGAGTAGGTGTAACTACCATTGTCCTAAAGAAAGAAGTGTAGCAAGTAAACCAGCTCTTCCTGTTTCCATGTCTAGGAAATTATGGGAGAGGGAAGAACACTATGCTCTTCTAATTTCTTCTATGTTGCTGCTTTTGTAGAATCTTGTATAATGGGATATGCAATCTTGCTATCATTAAGAATTTACTCAATTAGTAGTAAATGTAGTATTTCATCTCCATAAATTTGGCATTGATTTATGATGGAAAAGATTTATCAAGATCAAATCTTCTTCTTTTTTTTTAAATAAAATTAAAATTCACGTTGATTATGAACCGTTAACCTCTAAAGAAGAGAACACAACATATTCAAGTCATTAGCAACAATGAAATAACTGAAAAAATGGGTTAAAGATTTAATTTTACAGATGCATGAATTTCGTTAATATATGCTTATATATATGCCTAAGCTATTTATATATATATATATATATAGACCAAACCTGATAAATTTTTAAATACTTAAAGGACTAAAATCGATAGGTGCATAGTTAAGGGACTAAAAACGATAAGTATATAAATAAGGGATCAAACTTAATTACATTTTGGATAGTTAAAAGATTAAATACGATAAATGTAAAGTTAAAAATTATTTTAGACCTACTCCAATAGTTTATGGACCATTTATGTCCTCCTGTCGTTGTAACTACATACCATTTAGGTTTAGATTATGTTGTAATTCAGCTATATTAAAAGAAAGTAAGAAACTTAATAACTCCATAAAATAAAAAAATATGCAGAGTCTGTTGTAACTTGGATTAGGTCATGAATGACATAGGATTGAAATCATATGAAGAAGATCAGAAGAATTGAATATATATAATTATTGGAGTCTTCCAACAGGAGCCAAAATTATTGACCATATGGAAATTAAAGATTAAACTATTTCAAAAAACCATGGACGCTGAACCATTTTTTTTTTCAGTACAAGTCATTAATGATGTAGCGTTCGTTATAAGTATTACTAGAATGGTCAATTATTCCATCAAATGTAAATTGTTTAACTCTCGAATTCAAACTATATCGCGTAAATTGATACATAATACTTAAGGAAGGAAATGTAGAGATAATGTGTTGGTTCTAAAACAGAGCAAAGCCAACCCAATCAGCATCGCTCACTGGTCGTCGAGGCGACGACTCACGTGACGAAAACGAAGAGGAAAGTGAATCATGAAAAGGAGAAATTGACTTCCGGCTAGATACAGACCATCGAGAAACTGTCTCTAGATCCAACAAGTAATTGGGTTCGGGTTCGGGTCCAGTCTTATGACTCTTCTTCTTCTTCGTATTCTTCTCTGTTGTTCGCTTCAGCAATGGAGACGGGAAGCACCAATCTGAGGCAACTCCCATAGCGGGTCGGGTCAATAGATTCAAAACATGCCTATCTGATCGTGCCCGTGGAGCTGACCGGAAGGATCGGTTTCGGGGCTCCTCAATTGGTTGTTGGAAATTGAAATCAGCCGCCGGTGGAGGTTTCAGCCTACGTGGGGTTTCTGGAATTGGACGGCTCTCGACTACTTCCTGTTTGATTAATGGTGGTTGTGAATGTTGAAGCTTGGGTACTCCGGGTCGGATTTCCCATTTGAACGGAATAACTCCGGCCTGCTTAAATGATTCATCCGCTTCAATTTCCATTCTTTTAGAGAAAATGACTGAAACTTACACTTGTATTTTTCCTCCTAATACAAATTTGCTCTCTACATATATAGTGAAGATGAAGAAGAAGATTGATTTGATGCATGATCAATGGCGCAAGGAGTGGAGTTTGGTGGACCCTTGTTTTGAGATTTCAAATAATTCTCACACACATAAAATGGACACTAACAATTAATAGATAGACAAAGTTATATTTATCGATTCGAATATTTTATTGAATCAGTTATTGCATTAACTATTCAAAATATTTAAAAAGTATTGAAAAAATTATAATCAATAATTATTAGGACAAACGAAGGGAGTATATAAAATTATAAATTAAATATAATTATTTAATAAGATTGTGTAAATATTTTTTATGAGTATCCGTGGAAAAAACATTATTACTGTATAATTCAAGAAGGACAAATCACCTCTCATTTATGTCTTGACTTTTGCTAGTTTTGAACAAGAAAATGTAGAAAATAACGGAGTATTGGTTTTCTTTATAATGGGACATGGAAAGTTGATCATGTTCAAAGTTGGCCAAACTTGAGAAGATTATACATTAGCTAAAATTGTGACTTAATCTCATATATATAATAAAAAAATGTCTGTTGGATAAGATTTTTGAAAAAAATAGGTGAAAAAGTCTATTGTAACGGATGACAAACTTTATTAGCCACTCTTTAATGGAAAGTACTTCCTCAATTTCTTTTCTATGACCCTATATAAAGGGACAAGGAAAATTTAAGTTATATTGGTTTGATTATTCATAACTTATAATATTTTAGTGAAAATAAAATTGTTAATTAATAATTTAATGTTTAGTTTAATAAATGAAAAACATCGCACGATGCACGTCATTAAAAATTGAATTTTGTAATGCCGACGAATTAATGATATCAAATATTTTTCAAAGTCCATTTACATATATATATTTATGTAGGCTCTGTACGTAGGCTGGTACAATGTCTCTATTAATAAAAACAACTCTTCATATCCTGCGGTGTGTATTATTGATTATTCTTCAACCAACCGTCAATGCCATGAAATAAAATAATAGAAGTAGCTAGGGGTGTGGTCGATATGAATTTCAAAATTTTCAGGTTTAGATGGTCACATATTTTGAAAAATATTTTTTTGAGAAAGCGAACTTCTTAAAATCAAAGAAAATAAGCTTTTAAATAAAAATAGCGAAAATAATTTCAACAAGTGATATTCCACATTGATTGTATCCTTTCACCACTCTAGGCTCTAAGACACTTCATCTTCACCTTCACCCCGTGATCCCCACCATCCGACACCCTTACCTCCCCACCCCATCTCCATACTATATATCTAAATTATATAATATTTTTTGCGTACTTGCTATAACCGAACACACCCTATGTAAATTTCTAATTTCAAGTTGTTCAATTATTTCTTGACGTTTTCTCTTAAAATTGTACATCATTTAAAATGACGACACTATGTTGAGTTCCAATACCGGTTAGGGATAAGATTTTGGTCTTGGGCAATCCTTCATTTATAAGTTAACTTTTGAAGTTAAGTTGGACTCAAAGATTCATATGTTTATCACATTCTAAAGACATTACTATTCAAGTATTCTACCATCTAAATTATCTGACTTTTTCATTTTTCAAGAGTCAAATACAGTGATATTTCACTAATTTAAATTGTATTATGTGTAACTACAACTAAGAAAGATAAGCAATTAGGTATTTCTGCACGATTTCAAAGTAAAAAAAGAATCTTATATTCAACCGCAGATATATGTTGATTTAGTTCGGATGAAATTAGTTTGACTTTTCATTTTGATGTGAATCTAGGATATTATACAAAGATATCATTTAATTATATTTATATTCGAGTGTATTGTACTCATATTTCCTAGATTGAGTACAATTTATACTCTTTTCTTTTTATTTAATTGTCATGTTTAAAAAAATAATAGCAGGAATATATTTGTGCTTCTTTTCCAGTTTCAGTTCTCACCACTTCGCAGAATTTTGTAGTCAAAAGTACACATTTGGACATTGTTTTTTAGCAAAAAAACTTCTTTTTTAGGTTTAGACGATGGTTATCCATACGGATGACTCTGGATCTCCCATCAATGTCTTCTGAATGAAGTCTATCGAGTGAGTGTCACATATGGGAGGTTTACCCGTGCGCATAAAGTGTTCACTTAAAGGACATCAGCTGTAAACAGAGGTTATAGGCACGACGGGTTATGCTGGATTTAAAAAAAAAAAAAAAAAAAAAGCTTATACTATGTCAATATACTTATCTAGGAGTACCTTTATCTAGAAGTACAGCACTGTACGTTTCTTTTTCACTCTATTTCTTTATTTAGTATATTAATAAATAAATGACCATCTTTGCTGGTGTCTTTTATGGGGTTTCCTATAATATATTTCCCAAATGGACCTACTCATATAAGACCGTTGTTCTAGGGATCTGTATTTTTGGTTACAAGATTTGATTATATTCCGTGAAAAATATTTACCTGATGCTTAAACTTAATTTAGGTGACTCAAATATAAAGTAAAAAGTCAGAATATATACTACTTAATCATGATTTAGTGATAAATTTGCATGGAAAAATCATAACTGATTCATTGATTTGATATAAATATCGCTTTTAAAGCATATTTTGAGCTTATGGGTCATTAATTGCAAGTTTTGCCTTTCTTGGGTTTATCTTTAGTTTTAGTTAACAATTAGAAGATCTTTAGAAGTTGAAGTCATGTCTAAACATAACCTGTGGAATATTATGATACGAAAATATAAACGACCGTGAAACTGAGACAAAAGTGCAAATGGTTTCATTTAATGTGGGCACAGAAGACATGAAGCCAAACCAACCAAGATCCATCCAGCCTGGTTTTCTCCAATTAAAGGTGCTTCTTTTTTCTGCTCAACCACCCAGTATGATCTACTACTAGATGTATTTATGCCAAGGCTTCACTATCTTAAAAAGTCAACTGTTTAGACAGATCAGTTGGGGCCTTAATATTCAGTAGAAAAAAGAAAATGTCAAAATCCCCTAGCAAAAGAGAAAAAGACAGACTCACACAAAATTGAGAGAAAATATGTTGTAGAGATGTTTTTAATTAGAAGGTTTGACCAATAATTGAGGGAGTTGGCAGCAGGAACCATGTCTTTGAAATTTAAAGCAAGAAAAAGAATATAGTCTATTAGATAATAGTATTATATGTGTAATATTTGTCTCTATTTAATCAATCTGTTTGCTGTTAAGAAATTTTGAAAAGAACCTGATATGTAGCAAAAAGCTCTTTTTTTTTGTTGCTGTTGACTTTGTTTTCTCAGTTTGTAGTCATGGGAAGCAGTTATTTCTTCATCATCTTTCTGTTGAACTTTCTGTTGATTCTTTGTCCTTCTGTTTCACTTCCTTTGTGTACTGATTCAAGTAAGTTTTTTTTGGTGTTGTTCAAGATTTTCTC